TCTGAATCTCTCTGGGGGCTCAAGCAGTCTCTGCGCCTCAGCTTTCAGAGATTCTAGGATTATAGGTATGAGCGCACTGTGCCTGATCTTTTGAGTTTTCTTTAAGGAATGGCGGTTAATTTGGTTTATAGTGAAACTACCATTTGTATTGTATTTTTCAGTTTGTTTTTGTTGGTTTGTTTTTTTAGGACAGTCTTAGTCTCTGTCACCCAGGCTGGAGTGCGATGGTGTTATCTTGGCTCATGCAACCTCCGCTCTGCGGCCGGGTCAGGAGGCAATTGCTCGTGGTGTTCAGCCTTACCTGCTGGTAACCTGGGATTATACCATTCACCACACATGCAATCTCTTTTTTTTGTTGTTGTTTTTGTTTTTGGTATTTTTTGGTAGAGATGGAGGTTTCGAGTAGTGTGGCCAGGCTGGTCTGAACTCGTCCTCGGCTTCAAGGTGATTTTGCCTTGCTTGCGCTGCCCAGTGTGCTGGGCATACCAGGCGGTGAATGCTGCGCACACCAGCGTCTTTTCTTAAGATTTGGACAAGACTCTGATAGTAATAATTTTGATAGGACTTTTGATGACGTTGTTAAACAACTCGTTGCATTTAGTGCATAGATGCTTTTTAAATGAAGCATATCTTTTTTTTTTTTTTTTTGAGCGGGTCTCGCTCTGTTGCCGAGGCTGGAGTGTCAGCTGGCCGGATCTCAGCTTCACTGGCAAGCTCTGCCTCCCTGAGGTTCACGGCCAGGTCTCCTGCCTCAGCCTCCCAAGTAGTGGACTACAGGCGCCGCCACCAGCGGGCTAGTTTGTTTGTATTATTCTTGAGTAGAGAGGGGTTCACCGGTGTTAGGCAGGATGGTACTCGATCTCCTACCTCGTGATCCGGCGCCGTCGCTCGGCCTGCCCAAAGTGCTGGATTACGTGAGGCTTGCAGCCCGATGTTTCGCCGCCAGCAGTATCTGTTTGAATCATGGTTGTTTTTTTGGTTTAGTGTTTTCGAGAAAATGTTCCCTTTTTTCTTAACTGTTTGAGGGTATAATTACAGATTAAATTTCATATTCACCCTTTCGTAGGGTTATTTTTTTATGGGAAACAATATCAGTGTATAACCATCACTCTGAAACACTTTCCGTTCACTCGAGTAAGATCCTTATCTCTCCCCATTGCAATTTGACAGTTAATCCCTTTTCATCCGATAACTGCTCAATCTACTTTCTATCTGTAGGTAGATTGCCTTTCTGGTATTTCCATATGAAATGGTTCATGTAGTGATGTGAATCTCGGGGTGCTTTGCTTCTGTACGCTAATGTTATGTTTTTGTTTTTTTGTTTTGGTGTGTGACGTGTGTGTCGTGTTTGTTGTTTGAGACAGAGTGTCACACTGTTGGCCCAGGCTGGATGTGCAGTCCAATCTCAGCTCACTGCAACCTCCGCTCCACGAGTTGAACATTCTTGTGCCTCGCCTCCGTGAGTAGCTGGGATTACAGGCATGTGCTACCAGACACCGCTATTTGTTTATATTTTCGTTGAGTAAGAGACAGCGGTTTTTGATCCATGTGGCCAAGGGCGTGTTGTCTCAAACTGCAGACCTCAGGTTCATCCGCCCACCTTGGCTTCGCGCAACAGTGGTGGAATTAGAGGCGGTGAGCCACTGTGACTGGCCCACTGTGTCATGTTTGAGATTGATCCGTGGTGTAGCAGAGTCCATACATTTTTTTGCTGTTATAATATAATGCATATGTTCATATTGATTATCTTACTTTTTGGTCTATTATGAATAATCTGTTATGGGAACCCTTCAAGTCCAGATCTTTAAACATAGTATTTTTTATATCTTTGGTTTTGTTTGTTGTTCGATGGAGTCTCGACTCTGTCGCCAGGTTGGAGTGCAGTGCACGGATCTCAGGCTCAATGCAATCCTCCAACATCCTGTGTTAACCAAATTCTCCTGCCTCAGCGCTCTAGATGCTGGGATTAGAGGCGTTGGCCACCACGCCCAGTCTAATTTTTTTTTTTTTTTTTTGTATTTTAGTAGCAGGAAGTAGAGACAGGGTTTCACCATGTTGACCAGGCTGGTCTCAAACTTCTAACCTCAGATGATCCACCCTCTTCAGCCTCCCAAAGTGTTGGGATTGCAGGCGTGAGCCACCTCACCTGGCCATATTTTCATTTCTTTTGGGTAAATGTCCAGAAGTAGAATTGCTTGGTGTATGGTAAATTTACAATTCATGTATTTTTACCAAGTTCAGATTTTGAATTAACATTTTCATTAGCTCTAAATCACTAATGAACAGTGTCACAAATTTGAAAACAGGTATGGTTCAAGAGTAATGCAACTGGTAGGAAAACAAGTATTTACTTTCCAGGCAAACCTATCTGAACACCAGTACTTGATTTTTAAAATACTGGGGAAGTTTGGAATTTGAGTGCTGGAAAGGAACTTAGAGATGTTGTAAACCAAAACCTTCATTTTACAGATTAATATTAGACCTGGAACTAAACCTTGATCCTCGTGTTCCTAGTCTATCTCTCTTTCCACAAAAATACACTGCCTCCCGTTGAGAAGAAACAAAGGATGCCAAGTCTGAATTCTTTTTTTTTTTTTTTTTTTTTTTGAGACAGAGTCTCGCTGTGTCACCCAGACTGGAGTGCAGTGGTTCAATCTTGGCTCACTGCAACCTCTGCCTCCCGGGTTCAAACGATTCCCCTGCCTCAACCTCCCAAGTAGCTGAGATCACAGGCGTACACCACCACACCCAGCTAATATTTGTATTTTTAGTAGAAACTATATTGCTCCAAGTTAGGCTGTTCTCTCAAACTCCCGACCTCAGGTGATCCGCCCACCTCAGCCTCCCAAAGTGCTGGGATTACAGGCATGAGCTATGGCACCCAGCTGAATTCTTGATCTGTTGAGAGTGTGAGCTTTGACACCGGAAGAATTACTTAGGCTACCTATGTTTCTAAAATCTCAATGACAAAATGAAAATGTACATTCTTTTTTTTTTTTTTTGGAGATGGAGTTTTGCTCTTGTTCCCCAGGCTGGAGTGCAATGGCGCGATCTCAGCTCACCGCAACCTCCGCCTCCCAGGTTCAAGCAATTCTGCCTCAGCCTCCCGAGTAGCTGGGATTACAGGCATGCGCCATCAGGCCTGGCTACTTTTTTTTGTATTTTTAGTGGAGACGGGGTTACTCCATGTTGGTCAGGCTGGTCTCGAACTCCTGACCTCAGATATCTGCCCAGCTCGGCCTCCCAAAGTGCTGGGATTACAGGCGTGAGCCACCGTGCCTGGCCGGTATCTTGTACATTCTTGAGAGAATCAACTGGCATAGTGCATGTAAGGTTCTTAGGATTATGCTTACTGTAATAATAATGAGCCATCAGTAAATATTAGCTATTTCTATTTTTTGTTCTGAGGCAGGGAGTCTATGAGGGAAAGGTCCTATCCCATTGTAAAGCTCCAGCCATCTCTGGAGTTAGAGAGCCTTAGCTTTTAGGCATAATAATTGAAAGCGTATATGTCTGTCATTTATTTTGACAATAGTGGACTGGCTTTATCTTCTTTTGCATTCGGGCCTGCATTCGTCGTGCTGTATGTGCATTTTGAAATATACTGCAATACAGTATGGCAAGTAAAGAAGCCAAATATGAGAGTTTAGATGGAAACTTGAGGTTACCATCTCCTGTGAGCAAAGATTAGGAATGTTTACATGTCAGTGATTCCAAGATTAAATATTGAAGATTTAGGAAACCAGGTGTTGCTGGAATCAGATTTTATTCTAGCTGGGGACTAAGCTGGAGACTCAGGTAGATTTCTTCAACTTTGTACAACAAACAGAGGTTAATTTTACTTATTTGTTTCTCATCAGGTTACAGGAACCAAAGAAAGACCTGATAGCTCGAGTAGTGAGGATTATTGGGAACAAAAAGGCAATTGAACTTCTGATGGAAACTGCTGAAGTTGAACAAAATGGTGGTCTCTTTATAATGGTAAGACTGCTTAACCGTTTTTGTTTTTGTATTGTTTATCCTGTGGTTTTGTTTTTGTTTTTGATTACAAATTTAACTTGGTCTTTGTTGGATCTCTGATTTATCATGCCTTCTTACAGTATGTTTGAGGTTTTTAAACTATTATCAACAGTGAAGACTGGGTTTTAAAAAAAAAAAATCAGTGGCTGGGCGCAGTGGCTCACGCCTGTAATCTCAGCACTTTGGGAGGTTGAGGTGGGCCTATCACCTGAGTTTGGGAGTTCTGAGACCAGCCTGACCAACATGGAGAAACCCTGTCTCTACTAAAAATACAAAATTAGCCAAGCATGGTGGCGTATGCCTATACTCCCAGCTACTCAGGAGGCTGAGGCAGGAGAATCACTTGAATCCGGGAGGCCAGAGGTTGCGGTGAGCTAAGATGGTACCCTTGCACTCAAGCCTGGGCAACAGAAGCAAAACTCCGTCTGGAAAAAAAAAATTAATACAGTTATAGACTGTATTAATTATACTTTCCTGACAAAAGAAAACAGATAAATTGTAGCCTGTTACTGTATAGTCACCAAAACATTTCTTAGATGATTCGTTAAAGGTAGGGGTTGAATTTTTTTTTAATTAATTTTTTTTTTTTTTTTTTTTTTTTTTGAGAAGGAGTCTTGCTGTGTCACCCAGACTGGAGTGCAGTGGTTCAATCTTGGCTCACTGCAACCTCTGCCTCCCGGGTTCAAACGATTCCCCTGCCTCAACCTCCCAAGTAGCTGAGATCACAGGCGTACACCACCACACCCAGCTAATATTTGTATTTTTAGTAGAGATGGGGTTTCACCATGTTGGCCAGGCTGGTCTGAAACTCCTAACCTCAGGCAATCCACCCACCTTAGCCTCCCAAAGTGCTGGGATTATAGGCGTGAGCCACTGCACCCGGCCAGGGGGTTGAAATTTTAAGACAATAGAGTCTAGAGGAGCCTAGGAGCTCAGATATTGAGAATATGAGTTTTAGAGTTTAGGTACCCTTTTTTACTTCTAGATTTTCAGCATATTAATTGAAATTTGGCTAAATTGTTTGACTCCCTGGAGCCTCAGTCTCCTCAGCTGTAAAATGGAGATTAGTCCTACTTTGTAAGGAGTAGAGGAGATGATGCACGTAAAGTACTGACCACGGTGTCCAGCACTTTAGCAATGGTAAACAGAAGTATTCTTTTTGGTTCACTTAATTCATGCGTTCTTGAAAAAGAGGGCAAAAAAATAACTTTTTTTGTTTATTTTTTGAGACGGGGTCTCACTGTGTCAACCAGGCTGGAGTGCAGTGGTGCGATCTCAGCTCACTGCAACCTCCGCCTCTGGGTTCAAGCAATTCCCCTGCCTCAGCCTCCCGAGTGGCTGGGACTACAGGCATCTACCACCACGCTTGGCTAATTTTTGTATTTTAATAGAGGCAGGTTTTCACCGTGTTGCCTAGGCTGGTTGAGAACTCCTGAGCTCAGGCAATCCACCCGCCTCAGCCTCCCAAAGTGCTAGGATTACAGGCTTGAGCCTCTGCGCCCGGCCAACACTTTTGTTATATGAGCACAGATAAATACACAGGAAAGCACAAATAGGTACACAGTATTTTTGTGTGTATTAAAATTTCCTGGGTGTAGGAATGAAAGCTGGGGGAAGTCTAAAAAGGGTCCTGGAGTAATAATGGGAGAGAAGTTTGAGAAGCACTTAACTGTTTCAGAATGACAGAAAGAGCTGCTCTGCCTAGGCCAGATCACGAGCACTGGCAGTTGTAGAAGGGTTTGGCACATCTCATTTAATTCAGCTTTCACCACCGGGTGAGGATGAAGGTTTGAATGACTTCCTTGTTTTTTTTACTGGTTAAGTCTGAATAGTATAATGACATCACAAGGGAGTAGATCAATATTGTGCTTTAAACATGGGGAGAAAGAAAACCCAGTTAAGATTGATAGCATTGGCTAAGGAAATAGCCTATGAACATAAATTACAGGAGTCAAAACAGAAGTTAGCAACAAAACAAATTATAATAATCTCGAATGCACTGCCATCCCTATTTGTGTCATTGTTAAAAGTACTTCAATTTTCATTCAGTTAAACAGTTACAGATTTCATCAATGTTTTAATACTGTAGTAATAAAACTTTATATTCCAATGAGCTAATGCAGATTTACTGAATATTGGGAAGATGCAAGTTCAAATTTACTTTATTTTATTTTATTTTTTGAGACACAGTCTGGCTCTGTTGCCCGAGCTGGAGTGCAGTGGTGTGATCTTAGCTCACTGTAACCTCCCCCTCCCAGGCTCAAGCCATCCCCCACTTCAGCCTCTGAGTAGCTCGGATTGCAGGTGCATGCCACTGCGCTTGGCTAATTTTTTTGTGTTTTTAATAGAGACGGAGTTTCATCATGTTACCCAGGCTGGTTTTGAACTTGTGAGCTCAAGCAATCTGCCAGCCTCGGTCTCCCAAAGTGCTAGGATTACAGGTGTGAGCCACTATGTCTGGCCCCCAAATTTACCTCTTTGGATACATTCTGTCCTTGAATTTAGTGCTTTCTACATGCCAGGCACTGTTCTAGAGGAAGGAGCTTATGGTGTGGTTGGGGGAAAGGAAGACAGTCTATAAACAATAAGTATAACTTCAAGTACGTTAAAAACTGATACATTGACTGGACACACCTGTAATCCCAGCACTTTGGGAGGCTGAGGAGGGTAGATGGCTTGAGTACAGGAGTTCGAGACCAGCCTGAGCAACACGGTGAAATCCTGTTTCTAAAAAAAAAAAAAAAAAAAAAAAATGAACATATATATATATATATATATTAGCTGGGCTTGGTAGCACATGTGTTTAGTCCCAGCTATCCAGGAGGCTGAGGTGAGAGGATCACTTGAACTTGGGAGGTCAAGGCTGCAATGAACCGTAATCATACCACTACACTCTAGCTTGGGTGACATAGCGAGACCCTGTCTCAAAAAAAAAAGTGATACATCCTATGGTAAAAGAAAGAAATCAGATGGAGCTATAGGGAGTAGTGGAGAGGGGGACGTTGCAGTTAAACTAGAGTGGTCTGGGTAGATGTTACTAAGAATGCGCCATTTGAACGAAGACTTGAGGTGAAGCAATGACTACTGCTGGAAGAATAGACCAAGTAGAAGTAACACCCATTGTAGAAGTGAAGGGTGCCCAGCAAGGCCAGAACTGGGGTGAAGTGAACAATTTACTTGCTTTAGGTGCAAAATTTGAGAGTGCCTTAAAAACTCAGTAATCAAAACAAATAATATTTGAATGTACCAATTTCAAAAATCAAAATTAATGCAAAAAATCCATAATGGGCAAAATTTTAAAGACAGGCTCTTACCCTGAACTTGGCAAGGCTGCTCTTTCCACCCTAATCTCTACCTAGTTCCTGTCTGAACAAGGGGCCAGTGTGGCAGGAGCAGAGTTCATGAGAGAGTGAGTTGGGATATAAGGTTAGAGAGGTAATTGGGCCAGGTCTAGTGGGAACTTGTTTGCCATCTTAAGGAATTTGCCTTTTACTTTAAATGAGATAGTCCATAGAGGGTTTTGAATGATAAGAAACGCATTTCCTAGGCCGGACGTGGTGGCTTATACCTGTAATCCCAACACTTTGGGAGGCTGAGGTGGGCGGATCACTTGAGGTTGGGAGTTCGAGACCAGCCTAACCAACATAGCGAAACCCCATCTCTATTAAAAATACACAAAAATTAGCTGGGCATGGTGGTGTATTCCTGTAATCCCAGCTACTCACGAGGCTGAGGCAGGAGAATCGTTTGAACCCAGGAGGTGGAGGTTGCCATGAACCGAGATCACGCCATTGCACTCCAGTCTGGGCAACAAGAGTGAAACTCAGTCTCAAAAAAAAAGAAAAAGAAATGCATTTCCTTTCAGCTGCTGTTTTGAGGGATAAGAGTAGAAGCAGGAAATGCCATTCCAGGTGGGTCTGACCAGCATGGTAGCACTGGGGTGAAGGAAAAGTGGTCAGATTCTGAGTATATATGGAAGATACAGCCAACAGAATTTCCTAGTGGATTAGATGCAGGATGTAAGAAAAGGAAGAGTCAAGGATTACTCCAAGGTTTTTAGCCAGTTTAAAGAGCAGTGTCCAAAAATTCACATTAGCTCCAGAGTCTCAAAAGTCTATTTAACATGAACATGGAAGGGTGTGTATAATGGATTGTTAAATGAAAAGACACAGATTACAAACCAATTGGTCAGGCGCAGTGGCTTACTCGCTTTGGGAGGCTGAGACGGGCATATCACCTGAGGTCAGGAGTTCGAGACGAGCCTGGCCAACAAGGTGAAACCCCATCTCTACTAAAAATACAAAATTAGCCTGATATGGTGGCATGTGCCTGTAATTCCAGCTGCTCGGGAGGCTGAGGCCTCAGCCTCGCTTGAACCAGGGAGGTAGAGGTTACATTGAGCAGAAATGTGCCACTGCATTCTAGCCCGGGCAACAAGAACATAACTCTGTCTCAAAAATAAATAAATAAATAAACAAACCAATTTATATAACAGAATCCCATTTGGGGTTGGGTTACAAATGTATGTGGCATACAAAAAAGTAAAAAGATGTCCAGGTGTGGTGGCTCACACCTGTAATTCTGAGACCAGCCTGGGTGACATGGTGAAACCTAATCACTACAAAAAAATACAAAAATTATTTAGATGTTGTGGCAAGTGCTTGTAGTCCCAGCTACTTGGGAGGCTAAGGAGGTGGGAAGATCCCTTCAGCCCAGGAGGTCAAGCTGCAGTGAGGTATGATCACACCACTTCACTTCAGCCTGGGCGACGGAATGAGACTGTGTCAAATAAAAGTAAAAAGATTATGTGTCGAAATGTTACAGTGATTACCTATGGGTAGTGGGATTATGGGTGGTTTTTTTTCTTTTTTCTTTCTTTTTTTTTTTCTTTTTGATACAGGGTCTCACTCTGTCGTCCACGCTGGAGTGCAGTGGCACAATCAGGTCACTGCAGCCTCAACCTCCCTGACTCAAGCAGTCCTCCCACCTCAGCCTTCCAAGTAGCTGGGACTGTAGGCTTGAGCCACCATGCCCAGCTAATTTTTGTATCTTTTGTAGAGATGAGGTTTTCCCATGTTGCCCAGGTTGGTCTCAAACTCCTACAAAAATATGTGTGTGAGTTTTTTGGTTTTTGTTTTTTGGTTTTTGGTTTTTAGACAGAGTCTTGCTCTGTCATCCAGGGTGGAATGCAGTGGTGCCATCTCAGCTCACTGCAACCTCTGCCTCCCAGGTTCAAGCAATTCTGCCTCAACCTTCTTTAGTAGCTGGGATTACAGGCATATCCTACCATGCCCAGCTAATTTTGTATTTTTAGTAGAAACAGGGTTTCACCCTGTTGGCCAGGCTGGTCTCAAACTCCTGACCTCAAGTGATCCACCCGTCTTGGCCTCACCCAACCCACGAGCCACTGCGCCCGGCCACACGTGTGTATATGTACCTATTTCCTTATTTTTAAAAATTCAGTTGTTTGAATGGCAACCAGTTCACATGATAAAACATAAGAAAGAGTATCAAGGGCTGAAGGGAGGAGGCTGAGGAAAATTGATGTGTACAGAGTGTCAGATTTGCAAGATGAAACAGTTTTGGAGATCATTTTATAACAGTGTAAATATACTTTACTGCTGAATTGTACACTTAAAAATTGTGAAGACGGTAAAAATTTTTGTCATGTGTTTATTATCACAGTAAAAAATCAGAAGAGTAAAAGGTATGTAGTGAGAGGCTACCCGACCACATGTATCCTCGAGCCACTCAGACTCCTCCCCAACACACATTATTATTTTTTTGAGATGGAGTCTCGCTCTGTCACCCAGGCTGGAGTGCAGTGGTGCGATCTGGGCTCACTGCAACCTCTGCCTCCCGGGTTCAAGCAATTCTCCTGCCTCAGCCTTCTAAGTAGCTGGGATTACAGGCACGCACCACCATGGCCAGCTAATTTTTATATTTTTAGTAGAAGATGGGGTTTCACCATGATAGTCAGGCTGGTCTCAAACTCCTGACCTCATAATCTGCCCACCTTGGCCTCCCAAAGTGCTGGGATGACAGGCGTGAGCCACTGCGCGTGGCTCCAACACACTTTTTTTTTTACACAGGTGGTCATATACTATACACACTATTCTATACCTTGCTTTTTTAACTTAATGTATCTTAGAAATCTTATGAAGTATATAAAGAGAGCCCCTCCATTCTTTTTTGCAGTTGCTAGCATTCCAGTGAATGGTTATATCATAATTTGTATTACTGTGTGTATATACACATACGTGCTCAGTTGATCTTCATTATTTGTAGATTTTATATTTTCAAATTTGCCTACTTGGTAAAAAGTTATTAACCTCAAAATTAATGCCAGTGGTTTCACAGTCGTTCACAGACGTGCAGTTTCTAAAAAAATTTGAGTTGTCCAACATGCACATGCTTAACTGACGTCGAACAAGGCAACACTCTGCCTTGTGTCAGCTTCCATACTATAAAATAAATAATACGTTTATCTTCTCCAATTTAAGATAGTATCTATATCATAGACTAAATACCAATATATATTTGGCCTTTTTTCCTGGATTTTCTGTTTTGCTTCACTGATCATTCTAGATTTATTTTGGTACCATACAGTTTTAATTATGTAGGGTTTATGATGTGTTTTAACATCTAATAGAATATTCATGGTGGATGCGGTGGCTCGCAACTGCAATGCTAGCACTTTGGGAGGCCAAGGCGGGCAGATCACCTGAGGTCAGGAGTTCGAGACCAGGCTGGCCAACATGGCAATTTCTGTTTCTACTAAAAATACAAAAATTCGCCAGGCATGGTCGTGAGTACCTATAATGCCAGCTACTCAGGAGGCTGAGGCAGGAGAATCACTTGAACCCCGTGGGAGAGGCAGAGGCTACAGTGAGCCAAGATCACGCCACTTCACTCTAGCCTGAGCAAAAGAGTGAAACTCCGTCTCAAAAAAAAAAAAAAAAATTTACTGACTTAAGCAGGTGGCAGTTAAAAACAGAAAATCCAGTGATTTGTTAGGTCATTTGAGCTGAGTGGCCTATTTCTCTTTGTTACCATATAGATTTTTTAAATCACAGAATTTCAGAGTTAAAAAAGACCAAAGACCTTTGGCCTTCGTTTTATAGATGAAGAAACTGAAACTCATATTTCGGTAATTTACTGGTGTTATCTATTTCATAAGAGTCAGAATCAGGACTGGACTTCAGATCTGGTATTCCTTCTATCTCCTTAATTGTGTCTCTGTTAAAAGATGCCTTGACCATTTATGGGAAGAGTATATGCACTTTAACTTTTCTGTTCCTTTTTGTAGAATGGTAGTCGAAGAAGAACACCAGGTGGAGTTTTTCTGAATCTCTTGAAAAACACTCCTAGTATCAGCGAGGAACAAATTAAGGTAATAATAATGTCCTCACCTCTTAAACTCCATCATAATTTGACTTGTAACTCACCCTCTAGCTTCATTTTCTATGAATATCCATTACCTGCTGTGCCTTCAGTGGACTGATTTTGTTACTGTCTTATTCTAAGGAACATTTGTGCCTTTATATACACATACGTGCTCAGTTGATCTTCATTATTTGTAGATTTTATATTTTCAAATTTGCCTACTTGGTAAAAAGTTATTAACCTCAAAATTAATGCTAGTGGTTTCACAGTCGTTCACAGACGTGCAGTTTCTAAAAAAATTTGAGTTGTCCAACATGCACATGCTTAACTGACGTCGAACAAGGCAACACTCTGCCTTGTGTCAGCTTCCATACTATAAAATAAATAATACGTTTATCTTCTCCAATTTAAGATAGTATCTATATCATAGACTAAATACCAATATATATTTGGCCTTTTTTCCTGGATTTTCTGTTTTGCTTCACTGATCATTCTAGATTTATTTTGGTACCATACAGTTTTAATTATGTAGGGTTTATGATGTGTTTTAACATCTAATAGAATATTCATGGTGGATGCGGTGGCTCGCAACTGCAATGCTAGCACTTTGGGAGGCCAAGGCGGGCAGATCACCTGAGGTCAGGAGTTCGAGACCAGGCTGGCCAACATGGCAATTTCTGTTTCTACTAAAAATACAAAAATTCGCCAGGCATGGTCGTGAGTACCTATAATGCCAGCTACTCAGGAGGCTGAGGCAGGAGAATCACTTGAACCCCATGGGAGAGGCAGAGGCTACAGTGAGCCAAGATCACGCCACTTCACTCTAGCCTGAGCAAAAGAGTGAAACTCCGTCTCAAAAAAAAAAAAAAAAATTTACTGACTTAAGCAGGTGGCAGTTAAAAACAGAAAATCCAGTGATTTGTTAGGTCATTTGAGCTGAGTGGCCTATTTCTCTTTGTTACCATATAGATTTTTTAAATCACAGAATTTCAGAGTTAAAAAAGACCAAAGACCTTTGGCCTTCGTTTTATAGATGAAGAAACTGAAACTCATATTTCGGTAATTTACTGGTGTTATCTATTTCATAAGAGTCAGAATCAGGACTGGACTTCAGATCTGGTATTCCTTCTATCTCCTTAATTGTGTCTCTGTTAAAAGATGCCTTGACCATTTATGGGAAGAGTATATGCACTTTAACTTTTCTGTTCCTTTTTGTAGAATGGTAGTCGAAGAAGAACACCAGGTGGAGTTTTTCTGAATCTCTTGAAAAACACTCCTAGTATCAGCGAGGAACAAATTAAGGTAATAATAATGTCCTCACCTCTTAAACTCCATCATAATTTGACTTGTAACTCACCCTCTAGCTTCATTTTCTATGAATATCCATTACCTGCTGTGCCTTCAGTGGACTGATTTTGTTACTGTCTTATTCTAAGGAACATTTGTGCCTTTTATTTTATTTATTTATTTTTTTTTTGAGGTGGAGTCTCACTCTGTCGCCCAGGCTGGAGTGCAGTGGCGTGATCTCAGCGCCCTGCAACCTCTGCCTTCTGGGTTCAAGTGATTCTCGTGCCTCAGCCTCCCAGGTAGCTGGGATTACAAGCACATGCCACTATGCCCGGCTGATTTTTGTATTTTTAGTAGAGACAGAATTTCACCATGTTGGCCAGGCTGGTCTCAAACTCCTGACCTCAAGCAGTCCGCCCATCTGGGCCTCCCAAAGTGCTGGGATTACAGGCGCCCAGCCAACTTTTTATTTATTGTAGATACAGGGTCTCGGTATGTTGCCCAGGCTGGTCTTGTACATCTCAGCTCAAGTAATCCTCCTGTCCCTATCTCCCAAAGTGCTGCAATTACAGGCATGAACCGTTCTTACTTTACCTATACACTTTATTTATTTATTTATTTATTTATTTATTTATTTATTTAATCGTTTGAGACAGGGTCTAAGAATCTAGCTCTGTTGCCCAGGCTGGAGTGCAGTGGCACAATTTCTGTTCACTGCGCAACCTCTGCCTCCTGGGCTCAAATGGTCCTCCCACTTCAGCCTCCAGAGTAACTGGGAGTACAGGCATGCGCCACCACACCCAGCTAATTTTTTTGTAGAGATGTTGCCCAGGCTGGTCTGGAACTCTGGGCTCTAGTGATCCACCCACCTCAGCCTCCCATAGTGTTGGGATTATAGACATGAGCCACTACGCCTGGCCTATACAGTCTTTTTCTGTTCCATGTGGAAATAAATAACAAGCATCAAATGCTTAGTTCTAATTATTTGAACAAGCATAAGGGCAGGCAGTGAGTCTGGAGTGAGTAGTACAGTTAGCACTTCAGCGTGGTGCTATCTCCCACCAAAAAAAAAAAAGTATGTCCCAGTAATGACAATACCCTACATAACCGCAAGACCCGTTATCACTCCTAAGAGAAATAAAAACAGTTTCATTATATTCAATATATAGGCCTTACTCCAATTTCGTAATTTGTCCCAAGAATATATTTTACGGCCAGGCGCGGTGGCTCAAGCCTGTAATCCCAGCACTTTGGGAGACCGAGACGGGCGGATCACGAAGTCAGGAGATCGAGACCATCCTGGCTAACCCGGTGAAACTCCGTCTCTACTAAAAAAAATACAAAAAACTAGCCGGGCGAGGTGGCGGGGGCCTGTAGTGGAGGCTGAGGCAGGAGAATGGCATAAACCCAGGAGGCGGAGCTTGCAGTGAGCTGAGATCCGGCCACTGCACTCCAGCCCGGGAGACAGAGCGAGACTCCGTCTCAAAAAAAAAAAAAAAAGGAATATATTTTACATACTTTCCTCCTAAGCAGGATACAGTCTAGGTTTCCATATTCCATTTGTTAAATCTCGTTTATTATATATTTTTAATTATTTTATTTTATTTTATTTTTTTGAGACAAAGTCTTACTCTGTTGCCCGAGCTGGAGTGCATCATCACGGCTCACTGCAGTCTTGACCTCCCTGGTCTTAGATGACCCTCAGCTTCCCAATTAGCTGGGACTACAGGCATGCACCACTATGGCCAGCTAATTTTTGTATTTTTTGTAGAGACGGAGTTTCACCATGTTGGCCAGGCTGGTCTTCAACTCCTGGGCTCAAGCAGTCCTCCCACCTTGGCCTCCCAAAGTGCTGGAATTACAGGTGTTAGCCACCTCGCCTGGCCCTCCTTTATTCTTTTTAACCCCACATTTTCCTTCATGATTTAGACCTTTTAAAGAGTTAAGGCCGGGCGCAGAGGCTCAAGCCTGTAATCCCAGCACTTTGGAAGGCTGAGACGGGCGGATCACGAGGTCAGGAGATCGAGACCATCCTGGCTAACACGGTGAAACCCGATCTCTACTAAAAAAATACAAAAAAACTAGCCGGGCAAGGTGGCAGGCGCCTGTAGTCCCAGCTACTCGGGACTGAGGCAGGAAAATGGCGTAAACCCGGGAGGCGGAGCTTGCAGTGAGCTGAGATCTGGCCACTGCACTCTGGCCTGGGCGACAGAGTGAGACTCCGTCTCAAAAAAAAAAAAAGTTAAAGATGGTGAGGTCAGGCATGGTGGCTCATGTTTGTAATTCCAGCACTTTGGGAGGCCGAGGTGGGCAGATCACTTGAGTTCAGGAGTTCAAGACCAGCCAGGCCAACATGGTGAAACCCTGACTCTACTCAAAATACAAAAATTAACCAGGCATGGTGGCGGACGCCTGTAGTCCCTACTACTCGGGAGGCTAACGCAGGAGAATCACTTGAACCTGGGAGGTGGAGGTTGCAGTGAGCAGAGATCACACCACTGCACTCCAGCCTGGGTGACAGAGCAAGACTCTGTCTTTTTAAAAAAAAAAAAAGGAAGAAGAAGAGTTACAGGTGGTTATCTTACAGAATATTTGGTTACTTTATTATATTCTGGTGATTGCCTCCTCCTGGCTTTGTTTAATTCATTCTTCTGTCTCCAGTATTATAAACTGGAAGATGTAGACTCTCTAGTTTTTTGGGGTTTTTTTCGCCCCAAGACAGAGTTTCGCTCTGTCGCTGAGGCTGGAGTGCAGTTGCACGATCTCAGCTCACTGCAAGCTCCGCCTCCTGGGTTCACACCATTCTCCTGCCTCAGCCTCCTGTGTAGCTGGGACTACAGGTGCCCGCCACCACGCCCAGCTACTTTTTTTATTTTTAGTAGAAATGGGGTTTCACTGTGTTAGCCAGGATGGTCTCGATCTCCTGACCTCGTGATCCACCCGCTTCGGCCTCCCAAAGTGCTGGGATTACAGGCATGAGCCACCACGCCCGGAGACTCTTTAGTATTTTAAGTCATTTTTGTGTTATTGGGAATGTCTTTTATAGACATCTTTTAATTTGTTAATCAGAGAACATAATTTGTACTTAGCATTTATTCAAATACTAAAGATTGAGAACTAACCTCTTGCATAGGAAAGAGGTGGTACACATCTAATGCAGCTGTTGTATTTGAGTAGCTCTGTGTTTTCCTTATGATAACAATGGTGATAAAGATTAATAAGAATGTGTCTTTTAGCCATACTGACTGTAATGCTAATGTGACAGATAAAGCCACTTACCTTGAGCTGGTCCAGGTAATTGTACTTTGCATCTGCTCAGTGTTCTTTTTCCTTAAGTTTTCTGGCTGTTCACTTAACAGTCACTTTAAAAGAGTCTGCTATGTTGACATTCCTACAGGAAATGTTACTGTTACTGCAAATCTAAAATCTCTAGTATAGTAACTACCTTTTTCATTTCATTGTAACAACTGTTTCAGTAACATGATTTGTGACAATGTAAGTTTCCTTAGGAACACAACTGTTGAGTGGTAGCAAAGATTATACTCTAATGTTCTCTCCCCTCACCCAAAATAATTCTTGACAAAAGTATGTACTTAAAAGATACCTTCTAAGTAACTAAACCTTGGACAAACAATATTCTCAGGCAGGAGAGAAGAAATACTGTAACATTTATTGATTTCCTCCCACTGGACCAGAGATTAATATTATGTAACTTAATCTTCACATTGTATCACTGTGGGTGTTACTTTGTTATGCAAATGAAGAATAATCAAAATTATATGCCTGAGATCGCACAGACCACTCTGACTCCAAACCCATGCTGGAGTTACTTTCACTGTATTATGTCTTTGTAATTCAGTTGTTCCAGCTCATTGAGGGAAAGGATTTTAATGCTAGAAAGTTTTTATGTTAAACTGCCAGAAACTTTGCATTATAATAAGAAAAAATAGAAACATTTGGAATATCTAATAATAGGGACATGTTGATTTACAAGGACATTCTTTTGTTTGTTTGTTTGTTTGTTTTTTTGAGATGGAGTCTCGCTCTGCCTCCCAGGCTGGAGTGCAGTGGCCGGATCTCGGCTCACTGCAAGCTCTGCCTCCCGGGTTCACGCCATTCTCCTGCCTCAGCAAGACGGAGTCTCACTCTGTCCCCTAGGCTGAATGAAGTGCAATGGCGCGATCTTGGCGCACTGCGTCCTCCGCCTCCCAGGTTCAAGCAGTTTTGTCACCTCAGCCTCTCGAGTAGCTGAGATTACAGGCATATCACCACACCCGGCTAATTTTTGTATTTTTAGTAGAGACGGGGTTTCACCATGTTGGCCAGGCTTGTCCCAAATTCCTGACTTCAGGTGATCCACCCTCCTTGGCCTCCCAAAGTGCTGGGATTACAGGCGTGAGCCACTGCGCCTGGTCAAAAAATTCTTTTTAAAAAGAGACTGTTTCACTCTGTCACCCAGGTCTCATGCCGTGTTGCTCAGGGTGGTCTTGAACTCTGGGGCTCAAATGATGTTCATGCCTTGGCCTCTCAAAGTGCTGGGATTGCAGGTGTGAGCCACTGTACCCGGCAGTTTTGTTTTGAAGAGATAGATCTCCTGCTGTGACTCTCACAGGAGTCCAGTGGCACTATCATAGCTCACTGTAGCCTCAAACTCCAGGGCTCAAGTGACCCTCTTGCCTCACCCTCCCAAGTAGCTGGGACTACAGGCACATGGCATCACTCTCGGCTTTTTTTTTTTTTTTTTTTTTTTTTTGAGATGGAGTCTCACTCTGTCGCCAGGGCCTGGGAAGTGCATGGGCCGGATCCAGCCTCACGCAAGCCTCCCGCCTCCCGGGTTTCAACGCCATTCTCCTGCCTCAGCCCATCCCGAGCAGATGGGACTACAGGCGCGCGCGACCGCTAGTTGTTGCTACTTTCAGTAGAGACGGGGGTTTCAACCCGTGTAGCCAGGGATGGTCCCCTTCGATCTCCTGGACTGCGTGATCCGCCCGTCTAGCTCCAAAAAAGGTTTCTGGGGATACAGGCTTGAGCCACCGCGCCGCTCCACTCTCCGGCTTTTTTAAATGTTTTGTAGAACATGGGGCTTTCTGTATTGATCAGTCTAGGCTCAAACACCCTGCCTAAACAGTTCTCACCTTGCCTGGGCCTCTCTCCCAAGGCCTGGATAACAGGTGTAGCCAACCTATCGGGCCTACCATACAAATTTATTTATACATAATTTATTTTCAGATTGGCTACCAAATGGAATATGTTATTAATTATTCAAATTCTTTTCATTTGCTTGGTGGCTTGCTAAGCAGTCACCCATATGGTAGAACGTATAAGCCAGAACTGACTGAAATGGGATTTGTTTTCCTTGTTAAAATTCCATTTGGGGTAACATGACGTCACCAATTAAGTTTTGTTTTAAAAAATATAAAGTTTTCTGAAGGGAAAAAGCAATAGTTAAAACTTTATTTACTTTGTTCAAAAAAAAAAAAAAAAGAGCTCAGCTAAAACACTAGAGTTAGATCCTTAACTTCCTTAACTTGGAGAGTTAAGTATATATAGATATGGATGGGAAGGGGGAAATTTTCCCTCAAATTACCTGCCTGCCTTTGTGATAAAGATATTAACAACAATTGCCAGGCATGGTGGCTCACGCCTGTAATCCCAGCACTTTGGGAGGCTGAGTTGGGCAGATCACGAGGTCAGGAGATCGAGACCATCCAGGCTAACACAGTGAAACCCCGTCTCTACTAAAAATACAAAAAGTTAGCCGGTCGTAGTGGCAGGCGCCTGTAGTCCCAGCTACTCAGGAGGCTGAGGCAGAAGAATGCTTGTGAACCCAGGAGGTGGAGCTTGCAGTGAGCCAAGATCGTGCCACTGCACTCCAGCCTGGGCAACAGAGCGAGACTCCGTCTAAAAAAAAAAAAAGATACTAACGTATTGCAACAACATTTTGGGAACCATTTCCCACTTTGTTCTATTAAATTCATAACGCATGGGAATAAAGTTTCTTTTTATTTTGTTTATTGTTTTTTCTTTTAATTTTTGAGATGGAGTCTCCTAGCTCTGTCGCCCAGGCTGGAGTGCAGTGGTGCGATCTTGGCTCACTGCAACCTCTGCCTCCCACATTCAAGCGATTCCCCTGCCTCAGCCTCCCTAGTAGCTGGGATTACAGGCTCGCACCACCACGCCCAGCTGATTTTTTGTATTTTAGTAGAGATGGGGTTTCACCATGTTGGCCAGGATGGTCTCGATCTCCGGACTTCGTGATCCACCTGCCTCGGCCTTCCAAAGTGCTGGGATTACAGGCATGAGCCAGCACGCCCAGCCTAATTTTTGTATTTTTTTTTTTTTTTAAGTAGAGATGGAATTTTACCATATTGGCTAGTCTGGTCTCAAACTCCTGACCTCAAGTGATCTGACCACCTCGGCCTCCTAAAGTGCTAGGATTACAAGCATGAGCTACCGCACTTAGCCAAAGTTTCTTTTTAGTAAGGCTTGCCATGTTTGGAGAGAAAAAGACAGCTTCATAAAATTTATTCGTTGTTACCAAGCATTATACTACTTAGAATTCTTAGCAAGATGCTTGGATGTACTTCCATATAAAATGAAAATGCTTCTACTTGTGGCTTCTTCATAGTCTTTGAATTAAAGGTAATTGAACTCTTGGAAAAAATTGCAAATCATCACACTTTTGTGAAGTCAGTATAATGGATTTTAAGAATATTGGGCCGGGTGCAGTGGCTCACCCCTGTAAATCCCAGCACTTTGGGAGGCCGAGGCAGGTGGATCACTTGAGGCCAGGAGTTGGAGACCAGCCTGGGCAACATGGAGAAACACCATCTCTACTAAAAATACAAAATTTAGTTGGGTGTGGTAGCTCACGCCTGTAGTTCCAGCTACTCGGGAGGCCAAGGCATGAGAATTGCTTGAACCCTGAAAGCAGAGATTGCAGTGAGCCGAGATTGCAGTGCCACCCTCCAGCCTGGGCGACAGAGCCAGACTCTGTCTCAAAAAAAAGAAGAAAAAAAAAGGGAGGCAGAGGTTGCAGTGAACTGAGATTGCACTCCAGCTACTTGGGATGCTGAGGCAGGATGATTGCTTTAGTCCAGGAATTCGAGGCTGCAGTGAGGTTTAATTATACCACTGCACTCCAGTTTGGGTGACAGAGCAAGGCCCCATCTCTATCAAAAACTTTTAAGAAGAAAAATATTAGAGAAATCTTATATGAGTTCAGACTTCATACTTTCACATGTTAGCTCTGTAATTTTGTGCCTCATTTTCCACATCTGAAAACAAAGATAGTATAACTACCTCGTAAGGCTTTTGTGAGGATGAAATGAGTTAATGTGTGTGTAAAGTCCTTAGCAAAATGCCTGGTACATAAAAGTACTCACTTGATAACTGGTAACGAGCCTCATTATCTTCTGAGTTTACCTTTGTCTTTTCTCACATATGTACCCTCCTTCTCCATCCTCAGTTCCTCCTCTTTAGCAAATACTTTTATTATTTCTCTTCATCAAAACACTCATATTCTGAAGTTTTCCCTTACCCCTTCATTTCAAAGATCTTTACACCTTCCTCTGTTAATTCTGTGTGCTGCTTATAACTATTTAGCATAAATTTTAGGAGAGGGTCTCCTTTTTCCCACCATCTTCCACAGTGCTTTTTATAAACAAAAAGACATTGGGATTTATATTCGTTAAGAATATTAGAGGCACTGGCTTGGCTGCAGCTTTTAGGAATCCCTGCCCAGAAGATAATAGGGTCCCAGAAGTGTGTCCTGCCAACACCAGTTTCTTTTTTAAAGCTTTGAACCTTCTCTGTTTTGGTACAGTTTGATGATCCCTAATCTAGAAATCCAAAATGCTCCAAAACTTATTGTTTCAGGTTTGGTCTTTTTTTTTTTTTTTTTTTTTTTTTTTTGAGACACAAGTCTTGCTTGCCACCCAGGCTGAAGTGCAGTGGCGCAATCTCGGTCCACTGCAACCTCTGTCTCCTGGGTTTCAAATGATCCTCCTTGCCTCAGCCTCCCTAGTAAGCTGGGATACAAGATGTATGCCACACAACCTGGCTATTTTTGTTTTTTATGTACAGACAGGTTTCACCATGTTGGGCGCCAGGCTGGTCTGCAACTCTTGACCTCAAGTGAACCACCCCACTTCCGCCCTCCCAAAGTGCTGGGGAATTATAGGCATCGAGAGCACCATGGCCAGCCTTCTTAGGAATTTTTAACGTAGAGATGATACCATTATGGCTGAATAGGCATACGGCCCTAAAAACCTACGCACTCGGCTGGGTTTTAATTCAGGTTCAATCTTTACTTGCAGTGAGTACTTACTTAATATCTTGAACTCCATCTTAATAAGGAGCCTAATGATATTTGCTTATTTTTGGTAAGAAATGGAGATAATGATTTTAAAGGGACAGGCATGGAATAAACTTTTAATACGTGGTAGTTCTTGCTTACTAAAGTTGTTCCTTTATTACAGGACATTTTCTACATTGAAAACCAAAAGGAATACGAAAATAAAAAAGCTGCTAGGAAGAGGAGAACACAAGTGTTGGGAAAAAAGATGAAACAAGCTATTAAAAGTCTAAATTTTCAAGAGGATGATGATACATCACGAGAAACTTTTGCAAGTGATACAAATGAGGCCTTGGCCTCTCTTGATGAGTCACAGGAAGGACATGGAGAAGCCAAGTTGGATGCAGAGGAAGCCATTGAAGTTGATCATTCTCATGATTTGGACATTTTTTAAGTACATTTTTGACAGTTTGAGGACTAAGCCTTTCTAAAATAACATTGTAATAAACCATTTTTACTGAGATTGCAATGTTTTGCACTGATAAACATGAGAATCTGGAGGAAAGACAGTTGTTTTGTTTAAAATGGTGTATGTGCAGAAAGGAATGCAATTGATAGAACATTTAAGGATATCTCATGTCTGACAATACTTAAGAGTATATAGCACAGGATTTAATTTCTCATTCTGTTGCACGTGCTAATTGTGAGTATTACTAGTTGATAATCAGTTTTGTCTAGGTCATAACATACTATTCGAAAGTTTGCTTTTTCAAGTTTATCTTTGCAGTGAATTATGCTTTGACTTTAAAACATTCCACTAAAATCATAATGGGACATATAAATTATTAAGCTGTTACAAATGCATTCAAATTTGTTTTTTCTGTGTTCTAAGAACTCAGGCAATTTTAAGGATAAAAACTAACATTGGCCAGGCACGGTGACTCACGCTTGTAATTCCAGCACTTTGGGTGGCTGAGGCAGGCGGATCACTTGTGGTCAGGAGTTTGAGACCAGCCAGGCCAACATGGTGAAACTTTGTTTCTACTAAAAATACAAAAACTAGCCAGGCATGGTTATGCATGCCTATAATCCGAGCTAGTGGGGAGGCTGAGGCAGGAGAATCACCTGAACCCGGGAGGCAGAGGTTGCAGTGAACTGAGATTGCACCACTGCACTCCAGCCTAGGCGACAGAGCGAGACTCCGTCTCAAAAAAAAAAAGATACAGTTAAGAGGTGTATACTGATGATTCGTCCCACTCATTTGTTTGTCCAGAAGTAAATAAATGTCAGAAATTTTTAAGAGTCTCAGTCTGTCGCCCAGGCTAGAGTGCAGTGGCATGATCTTGGCTTATTGCAGCTGCTATTTCCCAGGTTCAAGTGATCATGTGCCTCAGCTTCCTGAGTAGCTGGGATCACAGGTGTGCACCACCACGCCCAGCTAATTTTTGTATTTTTAGTAAAGACTGTTTCGCCATGTTGTCCAGGCTGGTCTTGAACTCCTGGCCTCAAGTGGTCTGCCCACCTCTGCCTCCCAAAGTGCTGGGATTATAAGCATGAGCCACTGCACCCAGCCTTATTCTTAAATTTAACATGTTTTTTGACTTCTTAATTGGTTATATACTAAATGTGATCTACTCCTGTGTATTACTACATACTTTAAAAAAATTTTCAAGCTGGGCATGGTGACACACACCTGTAATCCCAACACTTTGGGAGGCCAAGAGAGGAAGATTGCTTGAGCCCAGGAGTTCGAGACCAACCTGGGCAACATCGTGAGACCCTGTCTCTAGTTTAAAAAAGAAAAAGAAAAACAAACATTCCCAGTGGCAGCCTGCCTAAGACTGTTTTACCTTATGTTAAGGAAGTTAGGTATTTCAAATGTTACATATGCCGGCACAGTGGCTCATGCCTGTAATCCCAGCACTTTGGGAGGCTGAGATGGGTGGATCATTTGAGGTCAGGAGTTGAAAACCAGCCTGGCCAACATGGTGAAACCCCATCTCAACTAAAAATATAAAAAATTAGCCAGGCATGGTGGTGCATGCCTGTAATCCAGCTACTTGGGAGGCTGAGGCAGGAAAATCACTTGAACCCAGGAGGCAGAGGTTGCAGTGAGTCGAGATCATACCACTGCACTCAAGCCTGGGCGACAAAGCAAGACTTTGTCTCAGTAATAATAATAATGAAATATTACATGTGCATGAAGTTTTAAATTACTCATTAATGAAGAAAATAAAGGTAGTTTAGACATTCCAAGAGTTAACTGTAGTTTACAAAAATATATTAAGCAAAAATATGCTTGATATATTAAGCAGAAATTTTGTTTGTTAAGCAAAAATGTAAAATTCAGCCATTATAAAACTATTCCTTCAGACAATGTACTTGAAGTCTTTCGGTAGTTCTGAGAATATGGTCATTGAAGTTGGATCTAAGAGGAAAGTGGTTATCGGTTGCTTTTTATTTATAAAGAATGCAAAAATAAAATTAGATTTTTGGCAGTCCTTAATGAGCTTCAAGTGATTATAATTTTAAATCTTGAATGTTTTTTCATAAAATTGCTATAACCAAGAAAAATATTTTTAAAAGGTAACTGGATATTGACTCAAAACAATTTATGGGAGGTGATTTTAGAATTAGTACATTAAGAAAGATAATCTGAATACTTAAATGCCACATATTATAAATATTGCCAATTTTTCTAGCAAAATTATGCCTTTTTAAGGGCATTGATGCCTGAAGCTACTTTATCTTCGTCAAGATTGTTTCTTCTCCACACTTTCCTGGTTTTTTATCAATAGTTTTTTTTCTTTTGTTTTGTTTAAAATGGTGTATGTGCAGAAAGGAATGCAATTGATAGAACACGCGATATCAGCTCACTGCAACCTGTGCCTCCTGGGTCAAGCGGTTCTCCTGCCTCAGCCTCCCAAGTGGCTGGGATTACAAGCACACGCCACCACACCCACCTAATTTTTTTGTATTTTTAGTAGAGATGGAGTTTCACCATGTTGGCCAGGCTGGTCTTGAACTCCTGACCTCAGGTGATCCACCTGCCTCAGCCTCCCGAAGTATTGGGATTACAGGTGTGAGCCACCACACCTGGCCAATAGTTGTTTCTTTAACATTTGAAAACCATTCAGATTTCTGGCTTGTGTTGCATCCTACTGCCATACAGAAAACAGTGCTTCAATTTTTAAGGTTATTTATTTCTTTTTTTCAAAGTTTAGGTTTTTATTGAATATGCTATAAAAGAGGTTTAGTCAAAAAGACCAAAGCCCATGTCCTTATCAGACTCCTCAGATTGTTCTTTCTTTGCTTCCACTTTTTTTCAACTGAAGCAGTAGCAGTCTTTGCTTCCACTTTTTTTCAACTGAAGCAGTAGCAGTGGAGTGGGCAGGACCTCCAGCTACTGCAGGTCCACCAGCCCTTACATTGCAAATCGGGTTCCCAATGCTGACATTGGCTAGGGCATTTGCAAACACACCAGGCCAGAAAGGTTCAACATTTACACCAGCTGCTTTAATGAGGGCTTTGATTTTATCATCATGCAGAACGAGGGCCGAGTAGATGTAGGCAAGCTCCGAGAGGGAGGCCATGGCACGGGCATGTGTGGGGTTGGCGCTGCTGGGCACAGTGCTAATCGCTGGATAAAGTGAGGCTCTCACCCCAGTGTGGCCTTAGCTTCCTCGGAAGGACCAAGCACCTTGGCAGCAGCTGAGGAAAGGGGAGTTTTTAAGGTTCTTTAAAAATTTATCGGCCGGGCATGGTGGTTCACGCCTGTAATTCTAACACTGGGAGGCCGAGGCAGGCGGATTGCCTGAGCTCAGGAGTTCAAGACCAGCCTGGACAACACGGTGAAAACCCATCTCTACTAAAATACAAAAAATCGGCCAGGCATGGCAGCATGTGCCTGTGGTCCCAGCTACTCGGGAGCCTGAGGCAGGAGAATTGCTTGAACCTGGGAGGAGGAGGTTGCAGTGAATGGAGATCATGCCACTGCACTCCAGACTGGGCACAGAGCAAGACTCTGTCTCCAAAAATAAAATAAAAATTTATCTAAGATGACTCTTTCTGAACCTTTCTGGCTATCCAAATGAAGATGTGCAAACTGTTCTTAGGTATGTATTCATTTAGTTTATGCTCTCATCAAACCAGCATGTCTTGAAGTAATTCTTCCTGCTTAGCCTAATATTAATATTTTTCCTACTTGCCAGTGGGTAGGACTTACACTAATAACCCTCCATCTCTCTGTTTTAGTAGTTTAAGCATTATCCTCACTTGTAACCTTTATTAAAATCAGTTTTCATAATCTAAAATATTCTGCAATATGACAAATCTTAGGAAATAAAATAGGCTGGATTGATTTGGGTTTAGACAAATTGGATTTACACTCGAGCTGAATGTAATAGATGGTGAAACATAAATGGGATGCGTATCAGTTGTGCAGTATATAGTGATGTTGAGCATTTTTTCATGTACTTGACCTTTGCATGCATTCTTTTGAGAAATGCCTACTAAGATCTTTTACCTTTTGAGACAGGGTCTTGCTGTGTTGCCTGGGCTGGGAGTGCAGTGGCACAGTCATGGCTCACTGCAGCCTCGACCTTCGGGGCTCAAGTGACCTTCCTGCCTGAGGATCCACCATGCCTAACACCACACTGGTCTCGAACTCCTGGGCTCAAGCAATCCTCCCGCCTCAGCCTCCCAAAGTGCTGGGATTATAGGCGTGAGCCACCACACCCAGTCCTTTTACCCAGTTTTAAATCAGATTGGTCATTTTTCACTGTTCTTTATATAGTCTGGTTTTTAACCCCTTGTCGGGTACATATTTTGCAGATGTTTCGTCCCATTCTGTAGGTTGTCTCATCACTTCCTGTTTCCTTTGCTGTGCAAAAGTCTGTCAGTTTGATGTAATCCCATGTGTTTATTTTTGCTATTGGCCTGTTTTGCTGAGGTCTTATTTTAAAAATCCTTGGGCCAGGCGAAGTGGCTCACACCTGTAATCCCAGCACTTTGGGAGGCTAGGGTGGGTGAATCACATAAGCATAGGAGTTCAAGACCAGCCTGGGAACATGGCAAAACCCCATCTCTACAAAAAGATTAAAAATTAGCCAGGCATAGTGGTGCACACCTGTGGTCCCAGCTACTCGGGAGGTTGGGGTGGGAAGCTCACCTGTGCCCACGATTGATTGAGGTTGAGGCTGCAGGGAGCAGTGATTGCGCCACTGCACTCAACCTTGAGTGACAGAGAACCTCCCTGTCTCAGAAAAAACAAAAAAACAAAAAAACCTTGCCCAGCCCAATGTTGTAGACTATTTCCGTATGTTTTCTAGTAGTTTTGTAATTTCAAGCTACATTTAATCCTAATCCATTTTGAGTTGATTTTTGTGTATGGTAAGAGGTAGGAGTCTAGTCTCATTCTTCTTCATGGGGATGTTCAATTTCCCCAGCACCGTGTATTGAAAAGACTTGTCTTTTCCCTCATGTGTGTTCTCGGCACCTTTGTTGAAAATCAGTTGACTGTAGGTGGCATGCGCAATATATAAAGAGGAAAATCAGCCATGGACCAATAAAGAATGTTAGTTTGAAGCGATTTTTTTTTTTTTTTTTAATGACGAAGTCTCGTTCTGTGGCCCAGGCTGGAGTGCAGTGGCGCGATCTTGGCTTACTGCAAGCTCCGTCTCCCAGGTTCACACCATTCTCCTGCCTCAGCCTCTCCAGTAGCTGGGACTACAGGCGCCCACCATCATGCCCGGCTAATTCTTTTTGTATTTTTTTTAGTAGAGATGGGGTTTCACCATGTTAACCAGCAAGGTCTCGATCTCCTGACCTCATGATCTGCCCGCCTCAGGCTCCCAAAGTGCTGGGCTTACAGGCATGAGCCACCGTGCCCGGCCTGAATAATTGTTCAGTTCAACATATTTTCTAGTATGTGTCAAATTTGTATTATGTCACAAACAAACATCTTCATTTTTTAATTGTTCATTATAAGAATGATGTTTTACTCAAGAAGAGATTTGTTTTGTTTTGTTTTGTTTTGTCTTGTCTTGTCTTATTTTTTGGAGACAAGCTGTTGCTCTGTTGCCCAGACTGGAGTGCAGTGGTGCAATCACAGCTCACTGCAGCCTCACCCTCCTGGGTTCAAGTGATCCTCTGGCCCCAGCCTCTCAAGTAGCTGGGACCACAAGTACCCGTGACCATGCCTGGCTTATTTATTTATTTATTTATTTATTTATTTAATTTTTTGAGACAGAGTCTTGCTCTGTCACCCAGGCTGGACTGGACTGGCACCATCTCTGT